ACTTATCTTGGCATAATCTCTGCAGTAGAAATAAATAATTCATAATTTAACTATGAATCTTATGACATATAAAGAAAAAAACAGGCATATATTAATTCACATAATTAAAAAAGATTTGTATATGGGCTAAAACGATATGTAGTTATTGATTATATATATATTATATTGATTGTCTTTAAATGAGAAATCAGAATTAAGCTTAAACAAGTTGTCTTATTGTATCTTAGTATATAATGAGATAATTCTAGGAATTAAACAAAAATAAAGACTCTAGAAAGAAATCAAAAACTAAATATTTGATTTATTTCTTTGGTGTCTCTGTAAGAGAAAACTCGTTAACGTAATCATCAATTACTCCTCATTTAGCAATGTTAATTGGAAGAACATTCTCATCCAGGTTGATAATCTCTTTTTAATATTCATGCTAGCAGCATTCTTGACAGCTTGACCATCACCACTAGGGTTCCTTACCTAAAAATGATTCTTCATTGTCACCTTGAATTGCTTTGGCGAGATGGTAACTCCATTAGAAGTGTTAACAATGTGTAGTTGGCTAGACATCTTGCTCTTAATCTTTACAGCTTGTCTCTTTCACTTCTCCTTAATAGTTTCATATTTGTAATGAGTTTATAAAACATGAGCCACAAAAAGTTGCAATGTATTAAATACTTCCATACACTTAGGGCATTTGTATGGATTGTATTTATTGCAAGGGAGGCTGTGAATCATACCATCATAACGCTCATCATCATCACTTTTAAATTGTTGACGATCTCTAGTTGGGTTGTTTGAAACTCTCTTTTGTTGCGAATCATTTTCAATATTAAATTTATCTCGATTGTCCACTTTATCCATCATTCTAGTGCGATTAAGGGTCTCCATGATGGAGTTTGTACTCTCAAATGATAAAGCTAGCAAGATCTTTAATGGTGGAGTATTAAGAATGTTGTTGTTGTTATATCCAAATGTAGAATTGCTTAATGGTTGAGCACACAAAAGATTGTTTTTCATCTCAAAAATATTAACACGATTTGAAAAATTAAAAGGGAATGAATTTGATGAAAAGTTTTGAGGATAATACTAAATAATAGGGAAATTGTTATTGTCTCTAGCAAATATCATTAGGTTTGACATGGTGATACTAGTCAACTAGTTTCTAACATTTGAGTAAGCTCCTAGTTGTCAGAACCTCGTCATATTATTGAAAGGAGATGGTACATAAAGTTATAATCTAGTAAAGTTTGAAATAAGAAAACTTTTTCTCACAATCTCAGTTACAGAGACCTCAGTCAGCCCTGGTTGGCTACGGAGAGGACAGAATCAATATGATTTTGAACATGGACCTTGTTGGGTAAAAACCAAAGACTTCTCCTATATCCTAACCCATCATTGGATAATTTACCCCAATTTGGTCAACACCCTGATTGTTTTTGGGAAAAAGGATGAGATTTAAAAAAAATATAATTGAGGAATTAGTGAAATTGAATTGGGAATTCACCATATTATTCCCCTTATTAACATGGTAATCAATATTGGATCTCATAAGACTACCATGGTCGCCTAAATTGAAGAACCAATTTATGTTGTTGTCTATACTATTACCATTATAACTAGTATTGAATCAGAATGGGTTGGAGTCAAAAGAAAAGGAAGAACTTTAGTTCATTGCAATGGAAATGATTAAGAGGCTTACAAAAAACACAATAGAATAGTTAAGCATAATGAGCTGATAACAGACTTTGAGGGAATATGACTAGGGTTATATCACATATTTATATTGTTTATTATTATTTTTTTAGGTTGGTGGAA